CAGTACCGGCGTTAGGGTAGGGCGCGGTTGGGCGACCGCCCAGGGGCGCCGGACTTTAAGGGGCGCCGTGAAGCGGCGCCCCTTTATATTCCCATCTCTGTAAGTGAAAAAAAAAACGATGTGTTGGCAACACTAGAATGGAACGCAGTGCTCAATCCGTTCATACAGTTCATTTTACTGGGAATCCCCGACCACAGAGAAACACATTATCTATCTCTTTTTAACATTTTAGTTCAGAAGAGTTGACGTTATTTTTGATGGAGCGGAACACAGCTCATTCTTATTCATTCAATCGGTGCACGCACTTAAAAACAGTTATCGTAATTACATATTTTAAAACAAACAGACGCAGTAATCAGGCGGTCCACGCTAAGTCACGAAGTGCATGTTTTTTACTTTTTGTCGCCGACTACAGAGTGACATAGGTTTTATCCAAAAAGTTGAAATTCAAATAGTGTTTAAGTAGGTATTTGCTTCATGACGGATTATTTCACTAATTAGGTAAGTACAATTTTATTTTAACTATATTTACTTATTATACTAAAGAGGTAACATTTGTTTGTTTGTTATGTTTGGAGTGGGGTAATCTATTTAAAGTAAGTTATCCATATTAATATTATAAATGGAAAAGTGTATTCGAAACTAGTAGAGCTTTTCTCAGTATATTCACGTGAGTAACCCGCGTTTTTACTTAATTTAGTATGTCTCACGATAGTTATTATAAAAACAATATATCACAACAAAAAATCAAGACCTTAATGTGGCATCTACATCTGAAATACAAGCGAATGCATCGGTAGTGGAGTCTCTGTCTGACAAGTCAGATCAGTTAGCTGTTGAAGAGATTGTGGACGAAGTTTCCCGAAGTGAGGAGACAAGTTGTGTTACAATTACAGATGCTGCTCAGGATGACACTATTGGTGATGTACAACAAATAAAAATTCTAGATGACATTAGTTCTCTTGCTCCAAATATATCGGATCCAGCCACTTGGCCACTCACTCGAAATAGCAAAGTTATTGATCATATAATAACTAATGGCCCAGTGCAAACTCACATTGATAATTATCCAAAAAATGATACAGGGCGACATTTCTCAAATTCTCATTTTACCAAAAAACTTGCAAACAATGAAATAATTCAGCGTCGTTGGTTAATATACTCAGTTTCTAAAAATCGAGTTTACTGTTTTTGTTGCCGGCTATTTGATAGCAGCTCAACGTCGAATTTAGCATCTGAAGGATATAACGACTGGAAACACTTATCAGAAATGTTAAAAGTTCATGAAAGTAGCACTTTTCATAAGAAGTTTTACCTCTCATGGATTGAGGCTGAACTAAGATTAAAAACGGGAAAAACAATAGATTGTCAAGAGCAACATTTGATTAGAAAGGAAACTACAAGGTAGAATAATATTTTGTCTAGATTAATGCATATTACACTGTATTTAGCTGAAAACAATATGGCGTTTAGAGGTACTTCCGACAAACTATATACGCCAAATAATGGAAAGTTCTTGGGTTTAGTACAACTACTATCCAAATTTGATCCAGTTATGGAGGAGCACTTGCGTTTAGCTGTAAAGGGTGATGTTTCTGACCACTACTGCGGAAAAGACATTCAAAATGAATTAATAGAGCTGATGGGTGAAAAAGTGAAGTCAGAAATCATATCACGTGCAAAGAAATCGAAATATTATTCTATTATAGCTGACTGTACTCCGGACATTAGTCATATAGAACAGCTTTCACTGACAATACGATTTGTTGATTTATCATCAGATATCGATAAAATATCAGTAAAAGAGCATTTCATAGAATTTATACCTGTTAATGAGTCGACTGGTGAAAGGCTGACTGAAGTTATTATTGATATTTTAAATAAATACGGACTGGAATTGAAAGATTGTAGAGGTCAGGGCTATGACAACGGAGCAAACATGAAAGGAAAAAATATTGGAGTTCAAAGAAGAATTCTGGACATAAATCCTTTAGCTGTATATGTACCGTGTGGCTGTCATAGCTACAATCTCGTACTATGCGATGCCGCTAAGTCATCTGTAAAATCTGTCACTTTGTTTGGAGTACTTCAGAGGTTGTTTACGTTGTTTTCAGCTTCTGTTCATCGATGGAAAATTCTGACCGATCACTTGGGATTGTACACTATAAAAAAACTCAGTGACACGCGTTGGGAAGCAAGAATAGGCAGTGTTAAAGCAGTCCGTTATCAAATTAGCGCCGTCCATGACGCTTTAATCACTTTGGCTCTCGAAACTCAGCAAACTGATGTTCAAGTCTCTCATGAGGCTACTACTCTAGCCGAACAGCTAAAAGATTTCGGCTTCATAGTTTCATTGGTTGTCTGGTATGACATACTTTTTCAAATTAATGTCGTTAGTAAATCTCTACAATCAACAGACATGGATCTCGGTAAATGCACAGACATGCTGAAAAAATGCTGCAATTTCTTGGAAGAATATAGAAATACAGGCTTTAAAAGCGCCATTCTAACTGCGAAGGAATTGGCTGAAGAGTTAGAAATAGAACCTGTGTTTAGAGCGACAACAAGAATTCGACGTGTTAAGCGCCAAGCTGGTGAAACTGCCCAAGATGAGCCTATAACTTCTCCAGAAAAAAAATTTGAGGTTGAATTTTTCAACTGTCTTTTGGACACGACGTTAACTTCACTCAACGAAAGATTTGAACAGTTATGTGAGTACTCGGAATCTTGGTCTTTTTTGTTTAATTTAAAACAGATTCCAGAAAAACACGACCTTATCAAACTCTGTAGTGATCTTCAATTGAAATTAAATGTAAATTCCAAATCAGATATCAGGATGTATGTTGTGCGATGAACTCATAAGTCTGAAATCGTTTTTGCCTGATCAGAAAGTGGTTACTCCTGTTTTTGTTTTAAATTTTATTAAAGACCGCAACTTAAAAGAACTATATCCAAATGTTTGGATAGCATTACGAATATTATTAAATATTCCCGTAACGGTTGCTAGTGGAGAGAGGAGTTTTTCTAAGCTTAAGCTAATAAAAACCTATCTGCGATCGACGATATCACAATCTAGATTGACAAACTTGGCAACTTTGTCGATCGAAAATGAAATAGCTGAAAACATCGACTTTGATAACTTTATTAAAGAGTTCGCCGATAGAAAGGCTAGAAAAGTAAAATTTTATTAGTTTTTTTAATAAATGTTTATTTCTTTTCATAAATGGTTATTTCATTATTATCCTTCGCCTTTTTTCGTATGGGTTTGAATTGCAATTAGGGGGCGCCGTAGAAATCTCGCCCAGGGCGCTGTTAGTACTAAAACCGGCACTGCTCACATGGACAGTGGACACCTAACCTTCATGACATCACCAGACCAAGAAGCCAGATCTACTAACCTACTAGGGTTTCCGATGACATAATGCGCAACTAAAAATATCCGCATATGTAATAATTAATATGCACAATGTTTATAATTAATTTCTTAGATACAGATAGGTGTTATCAAGTACCAACTATGTATACGTACAGTCGAGAACAAACATCTAATATTCTTATAATAATATTAAGTATCTATTTATACATAACATCACGCCTTTTATCACCGAAAGGGTAGGCAGAAGTGCACATTACGATACTTAATGCCACTGTACAATGTAACACCTACTTTTCACTATTTATGTTTTGAGTCCCATGTAATAGGGGGTGAGCCTATTGCCATATACCGGGCACAATTCCAGACTCCGTGCTACTATTACTGAGAATTTCTTAAAAAAAAAACCAGTAATACTTTGCCCGACCCGGAAATCGAACCCGAGACCCCTTGTCCGGCAGTCGCACTTGCGACCACTCGGCCAACGAGGCAGTCTAATCAGTCTAAGTCAGTAATATTTCACGAAGTATCTACCTATTTTTCATAAAAAATGCATTTTCCGTGGTTGGTAATCCAAGCTAACAAAGAAACAGCACGAAGCAACTATGAAGACAACACACCAACGACGAATATCCTATTACAACTGGGATCTGTGACTCATGCAGACAAACGAAGAAGAATCCAGTTCCATGAAAACAGTCTCGCGTAAAGCATATCAGAAAATGACACCTTTAAAAAAGCTGTTAAACAAACAAATCACATTTTCTCGACGAGTGTGCATATCCCTCAAGTGTTAGGGACGTCACCTAATAAAATAGATAGCATAGAAGCATCCGGCGTTCCCTATCATCCTGCTATCATTCGCTCCGTGTATCCACTGTGGGAGGGACCCTAGCCCCAATTTCGAACACTTGACACCTTTGGGATAATACGGTCCGTTTCATCTGTTTGTGCTGACTCCTTTCTGGAATTCAAAGGCGAATAATATGGAGGTAAGTAAGTGCTTTTGCTTCTTTTGTAAATAAAATGGAAAAAAAATTAAAACTGCATTTAAAAAACCGACTTCAAAAAACCAAGAAGTCGATAAAAACTAATAACAAACAAAAACTAAAAAATAAAAACTATAATTATTAGTTCAGATAGGTTATTAGTGCTGATAGGTTACCCACCCACTGATATGCTAGAAGTCGGCGCCAAAAAAATCAGCCATAACATAGTACCTCCTCCTTTTTCTGAAGTCGATAAAAATGGACAGGTTAAAAAATTATATTCTTCTAGGATAACGGAAATGTCTTCATATCAAAGTTTCGCGATTTTCATTAACCGGTCCTCTCTTCGAAATAGAGTCTGGGTCAACTAATTTAGAATAGGATCTTATCTTAAACTTTTACTTGAAGCTATTATGTTGCACACATCACTACACCACACACCAAAGTAAGCATTCTTACCGCTAAGATGGTGCCTTTGGATATCCAATGATTGAAAATATTTTATACTGAGTGGTCACAAGTGCGACTGCCGGGCAAGGGGTCTCGGGTTCGATTCCCGGGTCGGGCAAAGTATTACTGGGATTTAAAAAAAATCTTAGTAGTAGCACGGAGTCTGGAATTGTGTCCGGTATATGGCAATAGGCTCACCCCCTATTACATGGGACTCATAACATAAATAGTGAAAAGTGGGTGTTACATTGTACAGTGGCATAATGTGCACCTCTGCCTACGCCTTTGGAGATAAAAGGTGTGATGTTATGTTATGTTATGTCTATTTGTATAGGTACATACTTAATACTGTTATTTATTTAGTAAATAGTAATTAATATTGATGATATGATTTACAAACATTGATCGATAATTCTAGTTCAATGAGGGTCACAGTTTATCTAACATGTACAACATAAACCTAGAGATGTAGAATAGTGCACGTACCGCATTTACTAATATATACATAGGTAGTACGTGTCAATTTTCTATTTACAATATCAATAACATGAATGCGTAAAGAACTAAAGACAGACTATGATAAATATTTAAATATTATATTCGCTGGACCCTTCCTCTGTGACTTTTGGCAGGCCACAACTGTGCGCTTCGCACGTAGCTTTCTGCCTCGCACAGCAAAACTGTGGAATGATCTGTCGTCGGCGGTATTTCTTCAAACCTTCAAGAAAAGAGCGTATTATTTTTTATAAGGCCGGCAACGCACCTGTGACTCCTCTGGTGTTGCGAGTGTCCATGGGCGGCGCTGATCGCTTACCATCAGGTGATCCGTCTGCTCGTTTGCCTCCTATTCCATAAAAAAAACTTCTCTTTCTAATGCATTCGGTGTCGTTGGCTACGAAGATCTGAAGATCTGCATAGGTAATCATAGCTCTGTTGCGAAATGAAACCTTTAATAAAATGTAGCCAAAGATTGGACCAATTTTGTGACTGCGACTGCCAATCTTTCGTACCTAAGTATTTATTTTTTTAAAGTGTAAATAAGTCAGTAGGTGCATACCTACCTGCGTGTTACTCATAATCAACAGCCTATAAATGCCCACTGCTGACCAAAGCCTCTTCTCACACGTAGAAGGTTTGAGCATTAATCACCACGCTTGCTCAATGGGGGTTGGTGATTTCAAATTTGTAATTAGAAATTATAAGCCTAGGTTTCCTCACGATGTTTTCCTTCACCGTTTGTCAGTGGTGTCTGAATAATCTTAGAAAGTACATATAGGTAACTCGGAAAAAGTCACATTGGTACTTGTCGTTGGTTTACGGTTAAAAGCACAGATATTTTTTTTTAATATTTCTGTGGTTAAAAGTGTTACTCACCTAGACTAAATCCATGTTGACTGAGACTTGATATAAAAAGACTAGGTACCTGTGTAGCGTGCCAATAAGTAATTAGGTAGGTATTATAATAATCTAATTACCTATGCAAATAAAAAATCATGTCATTTTCAAGTAGTTATATATATCTAACGTTTTTCATTTAGTCCTCGATCCTTCCGCATGTTGCTCTAAATTGGTTTCTTTGTTGCGAAATTATCAGTAGAGTTATTTCGCGTTCCGCGCGCGCCTCAAAGAGCCATCAGACCACCATTGGGGTTGGGCCCAATAGGGCTGATACCGATATGAAGTCGCGGAGAATCTAACGGGTTACCGGGGCTCCGGCTCGAAGTGCAGGAGTAGGAACGAGGTGGTTTTTAGTCAGTAAGAGTCTGACACTCCCTTCCGCCTCACTCAGGCAGAAGCAGTCATTTGATGAATAACCTCCCTTAAAAAAATCTGTACAGTTATTTGGTATACCACTCAATTGCGTAACTACAGTGTGAAAAGTCGGCAAAATGCCATGGGCCCCAGCGGGAAAGGGTGAAACCTCTGCATGGGGGCCTATGCAGAGGTTTTGGATCCATTAAGGGGTATCTAAACTTCTCTGTGTTTTTTTGGGAACGGTGACCTACCCGATGAATTTGATACGGGTCCCGAAAGCATAGTTACGTCATTGGTACCACTCTGCAAATTGCTCTTTCACGTCAATAGATCAAATAATTAGAATCAGGTGGACTTACATAGTCCTACCTACCATAATGCCAAGATCGGGAATCATGCCACACGTGGAAGAATTGATGAGACGTCTGGTCGTTTTTCTGCCTGTTGAACCCTATGATTCATTTAGAAGAATTGCAATCTTAACTTAGCAGTTATCTATCTATATGTATTTTTGAATCCAGATACAAGCCTCACGTTGGTGCTCTCTTGTTGCTCCACAGAGTAGGTGTAGTCCATGTCTCAACCAAACCTGCAGTAGAGTAGATTAAAGTTACCAAAATGCGTTGTTTCAATTGTTTTTTAAACGTCTCCTTTCACATCTTACAGTGTAACTAATAAACGGAGTAGGAAAAATCCTAATGACTTTAACGTACAATTATTTACGCTATGAGTTCAAGGTTAATTAAGAAAAAAGTTGCCAACATCATCGTATCCCTATTAGGAAAGACACACTTAAAGCAGCTTGATGGATTTTCAACCTTCATGCTTTAGAAATAAAGTTAACAATTGAGGTTTAGTATTTCAGGGTATCTTGACGTGCTGGTCTATGTTTCTACCATCCGATCTATTTGGAAATTCCTCGTGTCATTCTAAAAACTGTAAACAAAATAAGTACGTATTCGTTGCACATCGAATGTGACAGCAAAAGAAAAAAAAAGATCAAGGCTGATTTTTTTAATGTAGCCTATTTCATACCTGATGTTTCTCGAATTAATCAATTAAATTGGTTGATTAGTTGAATTTTGGAGCGGAACTGTTGCTTAGTTTCACGGCATTCATTGTTATTCTGGTCTAGGTACCTACAGACTTACATACATACCGTAGATAGATAAATATGTCCTGTATTCTTGATCTAAATGTTTGCCTAACACTGTCGTGTTTTGAATACCTAGTTAGGTAGTTGCTAAACCTACCTCAATAGTAACTTTAGTTACTCGGTCCTATTCCATTACTTATTCTATTAGTGTCCTAACTATGGAGTCAATGTTCTCATTGCAATTGTTGTTTTGCGACCTTATTTCATAATTTTTCTTATAATTTATTACTATACGAAGATTTTTCTCTGACAGACTGCCTCGTTGGCCGAGTGGTCGCAAGTGCGACTGCCGGGCAAGGGGTCTCGGGTTCGACTCCCGGGTCGGGCAAAGTATTAATGGGTTTTTAAAAAATTTCAGTAGTAGCACCGAGTCTGGAAATGTGCCCGGTATATGGCAATAGGCTCACCCCCTATTACATGGGATTTATAACATAAATATAGTGAAAAGTAGGTGTTACATTGTCATTAAGTGCCGAAATGTGCACCTTTGCCTACCCCTTCGGGGATAAAAAGGCGTGATGTTATGTTATTTATCTCTGACATTATTCTTCTCGGCCTTCTCTATATAAGCCTTATCTTTAGGCATATCAGTTTATTTATCTAC